CTGGTGTCAGTATGCGGTAAAGTGGGTGATGTAACACCTGCATCTCAGGCCACCCTCACCACCAGCAGATCAGATCTAAAAGGTTATTTATTCCCTCCATTTTGCCAATTCAACTGTTTTGTGGCTGCTCTCTATCAGACTTGTGAAATGATTCAGCTTTAAAAGAAACTATGTTTTAAACCAGATAATTATGGAGACCCAGCTACAGAGAAGCCAAACAGTTAACCAGCGGACCTACACGCTAACAAGCTGGGGAAAAAAAAAAAGACTAGCAAGGCAAGGTGGAGGATGGCAAGATTTTAAGTCAAGAACTGCCACTGACAGACAGTAACATATATTCATGACCTCAGTCAGTGTGGATTTAACCGGGCAGCGATGTCTCAGGAACAAGGCCCAGGATATGGTTTCATGAGAGCTTTAAGAGCATAACCAATTTTAGGAGTCCTTGTAGTCCTTCGTTCCTGTCCCCAAAGTGCAGCATGTTCTTTAGCGCTTCACTTTTCTGAGCATAATGAATACTGTCAGAATCATTCAGGCATACAGAATCTATGTACAGTAACTGTTATTGCAAAGGCTGTATATCCAGGGGCAGAGCTTCTGCACGTATAGTAGAAGTCAGATGTAGCAACCTCAACAAAAATTTGAATGAGATGTTCCTAGGACTAAAATTAGGCTCTGGCAGTTGCAGAAAAACATCAGGAGAAGAAATATATTCCATGTTCCACTTCCTAATCATTGCATGAAAAGACCAAAAATGCTGTAAATCCTCAGGGAAAGACCTTGAGGAGCATACTAAAGAGGCAAGACCCAGAAGCATGAATTAGGAGTATGGCATAGGAACAAAAAACCTCAATCCTTTAACGAATGTCTGTTTACCATTTTTATGAGGTGACTGAAAAAATTGTATTTTTTTTTGTAAATTGTTTTGAATGGGTTAAAAAGGAAACAATTTTTTTCTCCCAGATGACATTATAACCCTGCCTATAAAGTTCTGTTTAGTAGAGTTTCAAGCCAAGATGTTCCATGCAATTAGATGTTGTGAAACTCTTGGATACCTCAGTAACATTAAAATAGAATGTTTTGAAAACCTCTGCATAATATTTCTAGGAAGTGTAATGTACATCAGCCCCATTCCAATAAAAAGCCCATGAGAGGTTATTGCAGAATATTGCTGCACTGGGTCAGAGGTAAAACCAATGCATTCCTCATGTATTTACTGCATTTTGAACTCTGTATTCAGAACATTCAACATCAGAACTAATGTAAAAATTCAGAAGAAAATTTAATTATTGTCTCTATTTATATTAACAGTGCTGAACAGGACTACCACTTATCAAAATTAACCTGAGAATATAAATAATGAATGTGTATCCATAACCAATGAGCAGTTTCTGGCTATTTTAATGATACTGAAGTTTACAGCATTATTTAAATTCATTTGAGCAACCTGAGCATTTGGGCAGTGGAGAGGACCTACAGTTCTGCTCCCTCCCATCCTGAACTTCAGCCACAGGTATGCCTTGCTGGAATACCATGCATCATTGCGGCTCCCTCCCCATTTTCTTTTCTGTCTCCTAGTATTGCCTTTTTTTTTTTTTTTTTTTTTAATCCATATGTATCCTTTTTATATGTTTTTGTCATCTCTT